TCCAAGTAAACTATATCGATGGCATTCCTCTGGTCCACTAATTTTGTCACATTATCAAAGAATGCAATAAGCAGGTTAAGGAAAGGTTGTCTACTATTACTAATTATTTCCTCGAGAAGCACTGATCAGATTCTAAGGTGTTTCAGCAGGCATTTGTTTGAAAACAGGCAAGACCCCCCCCTAATACGCAGTCCTGCTTTCCTGCCAGTCCACTTCCCCCCACCCTTGCCCAGTTTCTCAGGGTATTGTGGTCAGTGCTCAAATAGCAGCAAGGAAGGTGTTTTGCAATGAGAAATTGACATAAGACCCTGATTAGAATTGGAACATAAAACAAATGGAGAAACAACACAGTTGTTTTTTCTTCAAATAAAAATGACCACTTAAATGCATTTTTAAAAGAAAACTGAAGGATGCTATGTTTTGGCTGTTTAGCTCAGAACCTGTGTCTAAAGCCTGTAGAATATTTGATTTTAAAAAAAAGTTATTAAGAAAATTAGACAATATATGATAACTCTATTTCTGCATACAAAAAAGTTAATTAATGGGATAATTCAGAAATTCAAACATATTCACCTGGGGACTCGTATTAGCAATGCTGAAGAGTAGGTGTTAATGGCCTATTAAAAATAATGCCATATGCTATTTACTGTATTTTGCCTGCATTCTCAGAGCACTGTAGGCTAAGTTACTTTTTCTAATTCAGATTGGACATCAATGTAAGATTGCCCCCCTCCCCAGTTAAGTGAAATGGAGAATGTTTATTTTTCTTTTGTTGTTTTAAGCCTACTGTTTGCTATTTTCAACTAGTCGCATAACACATGCTTAATAAAATATGGATCAGGGCACTTCAAACCTGATGAATTTACTGATGCTTATGTTCTTCAACACCTCTGAATTAAGGAGAGTTTCTGCAAGCTTTATATGTATCTCCATCTGTTTGGAAGGAAATGACACAATCTGGCATGATTTAAGTGCTCTCATCCTGTTGATTTCAGTGGAAGAAATCTGACATATTTATTACAATGTCATACAGTTCCCAGTGTGATATATAGAACTATAAAATAGTAACTTTGGTGGAAAGTTTACCACTATTCAAAAGACCTTCTTTTTCTGCAGCTTGTTCTAAAAGTATCAAGAATTATATTACGAAGAAGCTGGGAGAAGACTGGATATTCTTGATTCTTCTGGGTCTAGTCATGGCAATAGTCAGCTGGGGGGTGGATTATGCCAGTGCCAAAAGCTTGCAAGGTAGGTTGGTTCACACTCTGAAGAAATGCTACAATTAAAAACATATCTACTCTGTTTTATTATTAATGTGGTATCATTCACAACTGAAACCAATTAAAAACCTAACAAACGTAGCACATAAAGGGTCAAGCAAGACAGTAGAGCAGTGTTTCTCAACCTTGGCAACTTGAAGATGTCCGGACTTCAACTCCCAGAGTTGCCAAGGTTGAGAAACACTGCAGTAGAGAGATTAATCATTTCTTGAAAGCACAGCTGACTGAAAGAGAAGCTCAGAGGTATCAGTTTTGGTCATGGAAGGTGTGCTTGTTTGTTTTCTTTCCTACTGTTTGCTCTTTCCAAAAGCAAACATCGTGCTTTTCCCTCTGGGTCTTTCCCAGGCAGGTAGACAGCTCTCATTCCTAGTGAACACCTGTTATCCAAATGAGGAAGGAAATGGCCTTGGAAAGGTGCTTCGTTTGTTCATTAGGCTGGCTGTTGTGTTGCTGCTGATCATAGAAACTGATCGGTGTCTGTCTGGATTGCCTCCAGATTGGCCAATCAGGGATCCTGCCCTCTTTGAACCCTGCACAGATCCTGACAAAATGCCCTTCCACAAAAAGAAAAGGAAATGCTTATTACTGATTTCTTCTATTCCACCCTGCCTATCCCTGCACTTGACACAAGCCATTTGAGAATATAGATGGAGGTAGGAAAGACTGCAGAGTAAGATTGGAAAATGTTCTTGCCTTGTTTAGTTAGGCTCTGCTTGTTATCATTCTGTAGTGGGCTGACTGCAGCCAATGACAACTCCCTGCATGGGTTGAATTTATGTTTTTTGGGTTCTGTTCAGGTGCTACAATCACTCATATCTATTGTCATTTCTCCCCTTACAGCTTACAAGTGGATATACAAAGAGATGCAACCCAGCATCCCTATGCAGTTCCTGGCCTGGGTCACCTACCCCCTCATCCTCATCCTCTTTGCTGCCCTCTTCTGCCAGCTTGTCTCTCCACAGGCTGTGGGTGAGGAATCAAACTACACAACTATAGCAGACTTATTTGTCATAGATGAAGTCCCCTGTCTGCCTTTTTGCCTGCCAATTCCTATTCCTAAGGGATCAATGATCACTGATTCTATTATGTCCATGTAACTTGTTCTGTTTTTTATCAGTGCCAGAGGTGGTATTCAGCAGGTTCTGATCAGTTCTGGAGAACCGGTAGAGGAAATTTTGAGTAGTTCCAAGAACCGGTAAATACCACCTCTGACTGGCCCCACCCCCATCTATTCTCTGCCTCCCGAGTCCCAGCTGATAGGGAGGGAATAGAGATTTTATCCTTCCCCTGCCATGCCCACCAAGCTGCGCCACGCCCACCAAACCACATCCACAGAACCGGTAGTAAAAAAAAATGAATCCCACCACTGATCAGTGTCCCATGGGTTTTTACATCGGGAAGAAGGACAAGAAGAGATTTGCTGCAGGCAGATAGGACACTTTAATATCTCCCATTAAATCTTATTGAAGATTCAAGCACTCATATTTGTTTGTTTTATCCTGCCTTTGTTATTTTTACAAATAACTCAAGGTGGTGAACAAGAGCCGAGGTGGCGCAGTGGTTAGGGTGCAGTACTGCAGGCCACTTTAGCTGACTGTGATCTGCAG